TAGCTAACAGACATTTTTTCAGAAAATTATATCTGCAAGTATTAAAAACCTCAACGCTCCCTCATCTACATGCTATGCTTTGACCCTAAGCTTTCACTTTAACACCCTAGCCCTCTTTGGTGAAGACAAGTCACCAAAAATGCTGCAATTGTAACAAAGCCAGTGTTTGTACCCTGCCTGCAGGCAGCACCCTGGCTTTATTGCCCACTTTTGGCAAGGTAAATGAGATGTGCAAAGCTCTGTCATATCATGCCTCACCTGAAACTGCAGTTCCGTCTCTCTCTACTGCGCTGACTCAAGAGAGATGAAACCTTCCCGTATTCACTAACCACAACAGTGAAACCTAAAAGTCACAATGCTGTTTGAATATAACAACCATTTTACCGATAATAATTTTTGTAAAATAACGGGCTTCAGGATGTTACAGGTAAATCTTCTGTTCATCCAGGGACATATGTAATACTAGAGTTATGGACTGAGACTTAAAGGGAAACAAAACGCAGCTCTTGCTAAATAATGATTTCATCACTGCACCTAATGAAAACTTGCTGCTAGGTGAAAAGGCACTACTCCATTTCTTTTTAGATGATATGACAGAGGAAACTGATCCAGCTTCCCCAGCTCCAAATTTCTACTCACTGGTTTTCATTGAGCATTTAAGGGACTTCCTCTGTGTGGGTTTCTGTGCAGGACAAAACTCATAGACACTCCAAAAGGCACATGGCCAATTTGCATTCAGAAGCAAGAATTTGGGACTCAGGCTCAGAACGCTTCACTTTCACTGCCGTTTTCAACATAGCTAGCACAGCCCTAATCCAACTGGGAAAATGTTATTTAACAAACTGAGTTGATATACATGACATTTAACTACCTAAGGGTTCTTATTTGTCACTTGATTAGTCAACAGTATTTAAATTATATAGTTTAACAGCAAAAACATTGCCTTCTGAGCTAAAGAACCGATTCTTTTCCGCAAGTTGATGAGTGCATACAAAGCAGATCATCTGTAGCATCTCAGCACTGATTACATTGTCATCTTTAAGGACTTCCCTTATTTCAGAGAGCCATCCCTAAAATAATTCAATATACAAATCTTAGAACTTGAAAGCTGAGTATTTAAGTTCTCTTTATTTCAGGAGAGAAAAAGGAATTAGCAATCTCAGTTCTGAAACCGATTCCAGTGTTGTGGGTTTGATTTTAGACTCACTTTGCCTCCTGTATTAACCTCATCTGAACTTAAGCTGTTAGGCACATCGCAGCCTCGGATGTAGTGTTGTCAAATAAGCATCAACCCCTACAGTAACTACTCAGCACACCTGACAGCCTGAGTTAGGACTTAATGATGCTTCTGGAACCACTCTCATCAATTCAACCAAAATATAGGCAAAGGAATCTTCTTAATCTCTGGTTAAGGATATAACAGGTCATTTTGGTTATCAACAACTATTGCACTGATGCTTCATGTCAAAACTTGGCTACAGCCATTTCTCTTAGCGGCGACGAAGTCGATGCCAAGACGCGCTGCTCAGCAGACTCACTCATCGCTTTCTTGCCATGATGAGCAGTTTTGCCATTTATAAATATCAGTGTCTATGCACACAGTATTTCAAATGAGGCGAGAGGAAAAACATGTGGCTGTCTTTTCCTGAACCGCCTTCAGACAACAGCTTATGTGCAACATGTATCTTAAGCAGACCAGTCACGTTCCTCTCCAAAATACGAGAATTTCACAGAAGAAATAGCACCTTATGCTCGCAGCCGCACCACTCGCGGTTCCGCTGCTTTTTTTTTTACCACAGCATCAAGACTTTTCAGGCGACTCGCTCCGAGAACGACGAGGAGTTTAAAACGGCGAGCAAGGCGCTTCCTCGCGGCGGGCGAAGCCTCCGGGGGAGCGCGGCGGCGGAGGGCTGCCCCG